AGCTCATCAAATGGAACAAAGTTGGCTCAACCACTGTCTTGCTTGGCTACAGAAGTTCTGGGGTCACTTGTGGCTCGTAAGTCAAGGAGCACCTGTATCATTTGGAACGGGCTGCCAAAAAGTGCCAAACTTTGCTCTAACTTTACTTTTTCTTAATTCAACCCGATAGTTCTGTTCATCCTTGCATTGAGCAAATAAACCAGTTAAACACTCTTAAGCGTCTTAAATTCATAGGCACGCTTACACAGAGGTGCATGGGTGTGCATCGGAGTAGTGCTGGCAATAGTGTTCCCTCTATTGTACAGAAATTGCTGTGATTGTCCAATCTTTAATAAAACGCAATGATTTCTACTTGTCCTCTAAAACCTCTAAGCAGAATCTTGATCTAATAGATAGTTTCTGGCTGGGTTTACAGATGCCTCGAACGTCGTAAGGATGGGGAAATTAGAACTTCATGTTCTCGATGTCAGGATACAAGAACATAATAGGACAGGTAGTCCAGCTTGTTTAGTGATCATTCGAAGTTACGACGGCACTGAAAAAACTTATGACCATTTCTTACATTTACCACTATGGAGGAATTCCCCACTATCATGTGATCAAAACTCAAACGCTGGGCCACTGACTCGTATTTATGACGGTTGTAAGTGTCCTGGGGTCATGTTATCTGAGCTTCCAACAAGCAAAGTCAACGGGATTAATTCATTTAACAATCAGGTTACTAACTGATCCATTTAACAATTACAGAAAGCAAGGTCGCAAAATGGGGGAAATTCATTTTTATGTCTCGCTTAGCAACAGAAATTTTGGGGGCTCAATCGTGGTCATAAGTCGAGGACTACTTTAGTGTCTCCTGATGGATGCTGTCCAAAGTTCTGAGAAGTCCTGAAATGGACTCTGCCCCAAAAGATTCAATAAATGTAATTCTGGGTCAAGTTTTTAAATTTTATAGATAACAAAACTCTAGTCAAATGTGGCAGAACCCTTAACACCAGCTCCACCTTCATTCTCACCAATTAGTATACTCCTGATCAAACGGATTACGTTTTAATCCATTGCTATGAAAGATGGTTGCACATAACGTCTGTCGAGGTTCTCATTCATCCAGGTCATGGTTGTCCCCAAGGTGCTTCCATTTTAAAGGCTGCTGGAACTTTGTGTTATTTTTTTTTTTTCTTTAAGACGTTTCGCTGGTGAGGAATGGAAGGGATTTATACTCCGCAATCAGCCAGCTATTAATATTCTGAAACCACTAAGGTAAAAGTAAAGGTTCCCCCGCACATGCGTGCTAGTCGTTTCTGGTGTAGGGGGTGGTGCTCATCTCTATTTCAAAGCCAAAGAGCCAGCGCTGTCCGAATATGTCTCCGTGGTCATGTGGCCGGCATGACTAAACCCCAAAGGCACACGGAACGCTGTTACCTTCCCACCAAAGTGGTCCCTATTTTTTTACTTGCATTTTTACATGTTTTCGAACTGCTAGGTTGGCAGAAGCTGGGACTAGTAATGGGAGCTCACTCCGTTACGCGGTGCTAGGGATTCGAACCACTGAACTGCTGCCTTTCTGAAACTACTACCTAATGCTACTACTTATTAACTCTTATCCATAAAGCACATCTGGACCCTTTCCTACAAGAAAGGATTGGAGTCTGTATGAAGCCCAGAAAAGTTACAAAGAGTAAAATTACAGCGATTTCACACAGAAAGGTATTTCAAACAGTAGTTCCCAATCAAAGTAATCTACAATCAAGACCACATCAAAAACAAAACTAATTAAAGTACATCTAATCAGAATCATCAATGGGTGAGCATTAAGTCCAGCCATAAATTGTCCAAATAACATATTATTGTGGCGTTGTGTGGATGCCATTTAAATCAACATTCACTTAAAGTTATGCCATGCCTGATAAATTGCAAAGATATAGAAACCACAAGAACTATAGCTAAAAGAGTACAAAGGCATGCAACAAAGAGTTGCACCCAGTGGAATAAATATTTTTTTTTAAAAAAATAATCTTCTTTCTTAATCCAAGAAGACGGTTGAAAATTAGTTCCAGTATTAGAGCTATAGATTGTTTAAACAAAAATATTTCTAAAATTTCTGAGCCATTTATGGATAATATGTGTGTGTGTGTGTGTGTGTGTGTGTGTGTGTGTATACACACACACACACACACATACATTTTATATAATAATGACAGCTTTTTGGCTATAACAGAAAACGCTACGTTAAATGGAGTTACAATGCTTGATTTAAAGTTCTGCATAAAAATATAAGCAGTTATAAATGGAGGATACTAATATCTATTGATATCTAGTCAGGCATTAGTACCACTCTATAAAACCTTAGCAAAAACACACCTCAAATACTGCATCCTTGGTCACCACACTATAAAAAAGATGTTGAGACTCTAGAAAGAGTGCAGAGAAGAGCAACCAGGATGATTAGGGGACTGGAGGCTAAAACATATGAAGAACGGTTATAGGAACTGGGCCTGGCTAGTCTAGTGAAGAGAAAGACCATGGTGACATGATAGCAGTCTTCCAATATTTGAGGGCCTGCCACAGAGAGGAGGAAGGGGTCAACCTGTTTTCCAAAGCACCTGAAGGCCAGGCAAGGAATAATGGATGGAAACTGAACAAGGACAGATTCAACCTAGAAATAAGAACTTTCCTGTCATAAGAACAATCAACCAATGGAACTGAAGTTGCCTTCATTGTGGGAGCTTTCAAGAAGAGACTGGACTGCCATCTGTCAGAAATGGTATAGGGTCCACTTGGGCAAGGGTTGGAATAGAAGGCCTACAAGGTCCCTTCTAACTATGTTAATCTGTAATCTACTGTAATTTCACTAATGTGTTTCTGAGGAGGATGTTTAAATCAGAAAAGCTAAACAGTTTTTTCTGACATATTACCCATTCATAGCTACTTTGCAAAACTGAGCAGGTTCACTGTGTGTATGAGGAAGGGTTTAACCAAGTCTGCCTCAAAAGTAGAAAAATGAAATGAAACCACTCTGCAAAATTTAATACTTATAAATGCCCCGAAGCCAATAAAAACTGAAGAGTTTCTGATTTTGGCAACACTGATGGCAACGAAAATCAAAACCATTGTGAAGATTTCAAGTTCGTCAGCGAAAACATAGAACCACATATCTATTTTTTACAATTAAATATATATATATACCAGGCTTCAAAGTTAGGTACACCAGAGTTAAATTTTGTGAAAGGTTTTGACTTTTAAAAGTTTATAAAACAGTTATAGTGCGAGCATTAGTTCTGGCAGGTTTTTTTTAAAGGGTCTCAGATATCAAAAAGAGATGTCTACTATATACTTTACACACACACACACATACAATCAGTGCGTTGGTTGCTTGACGATAACTCTAGTATATTATAAGACAACTGGAAAGTGTGCAACCTATATTAACCTGCATTTGACTCTGGTATTATATTTGATTATACCATCCCACCTTCTTCAAAGAATCCTTTTTCTTTTTATAAATTCGGCTGGCATCTCCCCATGGTCTCCCATCCGAGCCCCCCGGATGCAATATAAATGGGTTTTCAAAGATGCCCCCCCAAGCCAATAAATGTGTTTTCTCCATCACTGAAATATATGTCACTTTTCCTAGGATGGCCACTCCCTTCTTTGCCATCCCATGAAAAAGTTGCATTTGGTTGAAAGCTTTCAGTTTACGTAACTGTTTAAGTACGTTCCGAAAGCTTTTAGCAATTTGGTGAGTCCCAGAGGTTGGATGCAGGCCTGGTGCATCAGGGCCTCGTTTGGCTCCATTATCGCAAATCCTCACCAGTAAATCACAAGCCATTTGGAAAAGGAGGCTAATGTTTAAAACATTGTTTAAAAAGTGTAGTGCCGGGCTCTGAAATTGAAAACACAACACAAATGGAAAAGGGTGCAACACACACATCAACATGCATTTGGCTCTATTATATTATATGACATAAAACGCAATACAACCTGAAAGGGTGTAATGTGCATTTGACTCATATTATAGAAAACACAACTGAAAGGGTGCAACCCACATTAACATGCATGGGATCTAGTACAGGTATGTTATATAAAACACAAAACACATTAACAAGCATTTGCCTCGTACGTTATATAAAACACAACACAACCTGAAAGAGTGCAACACACATGAACATGCATTTGGCTCTAGTGTATTAATAGTATATATTATAAAATGCAACACAATTTGAAAGAGCGCAACCCAAATTAACATGCATTTGGCTCTAGTATATTATATTAATATATATTATAAAATGCAACAGTGTTTGAAACAGCACAACCCACATTAATGTGCATTTGGCTATAGTATATTATATCAAATGCAACACCTGGAAATGTGCAACACACATTAATGTGTATTTGGCTCTAGTATATTACATTCTATAAAATGTAACACAATTTGAAAGAGTGCAACCCACATTAACATGCATTTGGCTCTATTATATTGTATGTCATATTAAAATGCAACACAACTGGAAAGGGTGCAACCCACATTAACATTCATCTCTGGCATTATATTTTATTATCCCCTCCTGCCTTCCTCTTCCAAGTATCCTTTTAAAATAAATTTTCCCCCTGCATCTCCCCGTGGTCTCCCATCCCAGCCCCAGGCTGCAACCCATGTTTACTGGAAGGCTTTCTGGGATGCAGCTATGGGAGAAACCAGGAACGGCCCAGAAACACACCACATTGTTTGGAGTTTGTGCGTGATGTGGGTATAAAAAGACGAAGCAGCCTCGGCCAGAAAGGCGGCTTTTAGGGGTGGTCCCCCATCCAGGGACGAGCCAGGGCCGACCCTGCTTAGCTTCGCTGACCTCCCGCAGCCACCCGCTCCCCCCCCCCCACTGCTCCCAGCGAGAAGCGGCCCTCACGGCCACGGAGCCAGGACACCGGCCGTCTGGAAAGCGAGCCATCCGCCAGGCAGCCTCCTCCAGCCGGGCACGGAGACCCACCGGCCCCAGGAAACTTACCAGCCGGACTCGGAGAGGGTCGCGGCGGCTACCGCCGCGTCAGCCATGGCGCCGCCGCTCTCTCCCCCCCCCCCTCCCCGCGCAGGGAAACCGAGGCACGGTGGCCGCAGAGGGTCAATCCCGAAAGCGTTTCTTCTCCTCCGCCCAAGTTATTTATAAAAAAAAAAAAAGAGTGGAGGGGGGGGAGAGGGAGAGAGAGACCCTGCCCCCTCGGATTCGCTCAGGCTGCCGGAAGTCCGAGGCACCGGACGCCATCCTGTGCGCACGCACCGCCTCCCTTTTTTTTCCAGCTTCCGCCCGGGAACCTAGAGAAAGAGAGAGAGAGAGAGAGAGAGAGAGAGACTTCTCTTCCGGCGGGCGGTCCTGGAGCGCGGGTGCCCCTAGCGGATCCTGGCGGAACGGCGCCTGTCTTGGGAGCAACGAAGAGCGTGCAGAGAGAATCCTGCCTGTAGCAAATAAGTGGAGGGAAAAGCAACCAGAACCACGAAATAAAGATTGATTTGAAGGGTGGTTTTTTTTTTCCTGCGGACCCCGCAAATAGTGGAAAAAGCAAGCAGAACCAGAATCTGGGTCCGAAGGGGAAAAAAACTTGAAATCATCCTCTTTTTTTCGTGGTTCTGGTTGCTTTTTTCCACTATTTGAGGCATGCAGGATTTTTTGTTTTAACCCCCTTTTTGTCTTTGTCTATTTTCTGCCTTGCCTTTTACCCCCAGGAGGATGAACAAAAGACTGCTCCCAAGTCACCACTTGATAAAAAGCGCGCACAAATCACCATTATACACTCTTGAAAATACAGATCGATTAAGTGCTGTGGGAAGCGCCACTCCCTGAATGAAATATTAAAATATTAAACATTTTAATATTAAAAAAAAAAGAATATTATATTTCCCCAAAGGAGAAATGCAGAAACATATTTTAAGAGGCAGAAAGCATCCCTCAGTCTTTCTTAATATCCCACAGCAGAGGCCAGCACTTGAAGAGATAAAGAGCTTAATGAAAGAGGAAGCCAACTATCCAGATGGCTCCGTTCATAAGCAAAGCAAATATACTGTACGGCAGGCAGAAGTCCATGCAAGAGAGGATATTTCGAAACTCCTTGCAGCAAAGTTTGACAGCTAATAAAAGCAAAGTGGTAGGATTAGAACAAGCAAACCCTTGCCCAATATCCAATACAGGATGAAAGCCATTAGCCACAATAGGAATTGCCTAAAACCCTTTTAGAAATGCAAAGCCCTTATTGCACAAATCCCAAACTTCAAAGTTAACAGAAACTATAAAGATCTATCCACCTATTCGGCCATTTGGTCATCTGCCTCAGAACCACAAAGCCTGGTGGTTCTGCTTCATCAATAAATGGACATTTTTTTCCCCAATCAGCCTCCAGCCTCCATTTTATTTCCAGAGTCTTTCTCCAAGCCTGGAACTGAACCAGAAGGTTTTTCCTTCCAACAGTGGCAAGCATCAACTGCATTCCATTATTGCATTAAAAAGAGGGAAAATGTTGACAAAAACAGTATTGTGAAACAAGGTGCTGATGAAAACCAGTCACATTTCAATCCAGTCAAGACATGTTGCGGGGAGAGAAAAAAATGGACAAAGTGTTAAATCTGTCGCCTGGCACTTCTGAAGGAAAGCAATCAAGATCAAGGGAGGTACTAATACCACTCTATAAAGCCTTAGTAAGGCCACACCTAGAACACTGCATCCAGTTTTGATCACCACACTATAAAAAAGATGTTGAGACTCTAGAAAAAGTGCAGAGAAGAGCAACCAGGATGATTAGAGGACTGGAGGCTAAAACGTACAATGCATGTATGGGCTTGGCTGTTGTAATGTACTGTTACAGACTGGTACGGTAAACGTGGCAACCTTGTAAGAGTGATGGATGGACAATGGAATGTAGCCATGTGATAAGGTGCCGTGTGGAAAAGTACTAGCCAGAGAAACGGAGAAATGAGAGTAATATGGGAGAAACGAAAGTTATGGAGATAAGAGTACCTGGGGAGGAGCTAAGAAGTAGGAGCATAAGATACCAGCTATGGCATAGGTGTGCATTAGCATAATTATGTAGAAAGCTTTTTGTCCTGCTATGACGTATGCATGTAGCCTATAAAAGGAGTACCCACCATTATTAAAGGGTCTTTCATCCCGAGTAAACACTGTGTGCCGTGTGTTTATTTATCTACCATGAGAGGCCCAGGGCTCTGAGTCCAGACCCTGTCGTCGCCAGGAAGCAGGTGGAGAAAAGCCACACTTGGCTAGTCTAGTGAAAAGAAAGACCAGGGGAGACATGATAGCATCTTCCAATATCTGAGGGGCTGCCACAGAGAGGAGGAGGAGGTCAAGCTATTTTCCAAAGTACCCAAAGACCAGACAAGGAATAATGGATGGAAAATGAACAGGGAGAGATTCAACCTGGAAATAAGGAGAAATTTCTCTGACAGTGAGAATAATCAACCCATGGAACAGAAGTTGCCTTCAGAAGTTGTGGGAGCTTCATCACTGGAAGCTTTCAAGATGAGACAGGACCACCATCTGTAAAAAATGGTGTAGGGTCTCCTGCTTGCCCGGGGGATTGGACTAGATGACCTACAAGGTCCCTTCCAACTCTGTTAACCTGTTCAGTAAACGAAGGAGTCAGGTACTTTTATTCATTTACGACGAAAGAAGGCCTTTGCAAAATGCATGAGCCGGGTACGAAGCATTAGCCCTTTGAATGCTTAAGCAGCGAATTTGCTCTGCTCTGCTGGGGACCTTTACCTGTGGACTTCCAAGACCCCCTTTTGAAGCCACAGGCGGCCTTCAAAAAGGCACTATCGCTTCAGTATTTTGAGGAGAGATTGCTTTACTCCTACTGTGCTTTGCAAATTGCAGCTTTTGGAAAAACCTCTTTGCACCAGTCTCAGGCAATCAGGTCTCAGATATATTATTTAGTCTGTATTCCACCGTTTTCCTATGAGACGTCAAGGGATTTTTTAAATATATATTATTATGGTGCTTCTTTGGCTGTTGCAGTATCCGAACAGCTAAATATCCATGTATCAAGAACTTAATTTTGATATTTATTCCTAATCCCTAATCAAGTTTCTCTGAACAAAGCACGTGTACTAAATCTATCCCCAAACATCTGCAATATATGGATCGGTCATTTGCCTCTGCATTTACAACTGTGTGCAAAGCCCAATCATTTTCTTACATCCTTCCAAACCTGAAGATAATCTAATATTAGAATATAGAATAACACAGTTGAGAGGGATCTTGGATGTCTTCTAGTCCAATCCCCTGCTTAAACCCTACATCACTTCAGACAAATGGTTATCCAACATATTTTTTAAAACTTCCAGTGTTGGAGCATTCACACCTTCTGGAGGCAAGTTGTTCCACTGATTAATTGTTCTAACTATCAGGAAATTTCTTCTTAGTTCTAAGTTGCTTCTCTCCTTGATTAGTTTCCATCCGTTGCTTCTTGTTAGGCCTTCAGGTGCTTTGGAGAATAGATTGACTCCCTCTTCTTTGGGGCAGCCCCTGAGATATTGGAAGACTGTTATCATGTCACCCCCTAATCCTTCTTTTCATCAAACTAGACATGCCCAGTTCCAGCAACCGTTCTTTAGATGTTTTAGCCTCCAGTCCCCTAATCCTCTTCGTTGCTCTTCTCTGCACTTGAGTCTCAACATCTTTTTTACACCGTGGCGATCAAAACTGGATGCACTATTCCAAGTGTGGCCTTAACAAGACATTATAAAGTGGTATTAACACTTCATGTGATCTTGATTCTATCCCGCTGTTTATGCAGCCTAGAACTGTGTTGGAGTTTTTTGGCAGCTGCAGCATACTGCTGGCTCATATTTAAATGGTTGTCCACTAGTACTGCGAGATCCCTCTCACAGTTACTACTATTGAGCAAGGTACCACTTATACTGTACCTGTACACTTGCCTAAATGTAGAACCTTACTTTTTTCACCATTGAATTTCATTTTGTTAGATAGCTCCCAATATTCAAGCCCGTCAAGATTCTTCTCTATCTTCTGGAGTGTTGGCTATTCCTGCCAGCTTAGTGTCATCTGCAAATTTGATGAGAAATATTCCATGTGGAATGGATGCAATCTATCCCTCCTTCATTTGAAAATCTCTGAATGTCGTTGTTCTGACCCAGCTCCCAAACATGCTGTATTTAACTAAATGTTCTCTTTATTAGGGATGCCAGCCAAGAGTCCAACCAAGTCCATCTGACCAGAAGATGAATAGTTGTCTACCACATCTATTCATCTCCACCCCCTGCCTTTTATCCCCAGAGCTAGGATAGGGCTTCGCTAGCAGCAGTGGCTCTTTTGTCCCAAGGATCGGCCCATAGATTTCCACTGCTCTCCTCTCCTCTGCCTTCTGCGCATCCACGCATCAGGCACTGGGCCCAGCTGTTCCTCCTCTTTCTCATCAGACACCTCTGGACCTGGGGGCTGTTGACTCTCCATCTGAGGGCTGACAGACGGCCCAGGCTCTGCCTATGTCTCTCTCTCTCTCTCTCTCTCTCTCCAACTGGCCACAACCATCATCCATAGATTTTTTTTTTTTAATGTGCTTTTAAAATTATTTTTTTCCAGTTTTCTATTTAAAATGCAGAATTACCAAGTTTATACTGCTTGTGCCTCTCTGATATTTCAAGTTAAATCACAAAGAATTTTCATCTGATTTTTTTCCCCCTTTGGTTGTTGTTTTTTAAATGGTAATTAAGGAAGCTGCAACTGAGTGGGTTTCAGGTCAATACCAAGGGTGTGCCATGACTTTCCTATTTATTTCAGTCTTATTTTTAATTAAACATGTCAAATGCATATTAATAAAAAATGTGTGCCTCAATGAGTCGGAGCAGAGAGTAAATTAGCGGGTCATTTATGTTAATAATTTTGATATTAACTAGAATAAGCAATTATGCTTGTTATAATAATGGTGGATAGAATTTAAATAAAAAAAAAACCTCTGAAAAGACCAGCTGAAGGAAAGAACATGCCCGCTATTACAAGAGCCAGCATTCTCTATAGTCCTGTTGGAATAAATATCCTCCTGGGTTCAGTTCCAAGTGGGGAAGAAAGACACTGGAAACATGGTGACTGCTTGGAAAAATGG